ACTCAGATACCGCAGCTAATGTTTTTTAAAGATGTGCAGCACATCTTTAAAGTGAAAACTCAGTCTTAAGCCTGCAATGACAAGCATTCATTTTCAAGCTTACCGCTTTCTTTACATTAGATAGATCACAGGATTGAAGATAAAGAGGTCAATCAACAGCCTATGGTAATGTCTAATCTGAAAGCCTTCTGGTTCTTACACAGCATGCCTTTCAAGAGCAGGGCCCTCCCACAATGCTATGTAATAACCAAGGAAGAAAAGAGGGAAGGGGGATGGGGAAGTAAAGGATGGATGAATTTTGTCACAGCAACCATAACCTAGGTCATGGTGGGCTGCCACCTGCCTCTGTCACCCCCTCACACACAAGCAGAGAAGGAGAGGGCCTACCAAGCCCACGGAGCTAAACACACAAAACTCTACTTTGGGGGCTGGAGAGATGGCTCAGCGGTTAAGAGTACTGGCTCCTCTTGCAGACAACCAGGGTTTGGTTCCCACCACCTACAAGGTAGTTAGCAACTGTCTGTAACTCCAGTTCTAGGGGATCCAATACCCTCTGCTGGCCTTCATAGGCATTGCATACACTGAATACACTTACAAACATACAGGTAAACACTCATACATATTCATACTCATCTTTCCCCTTCCCAGTCAGGCACCTACAGGAGGATTTTTACTGCCTTCATCTCTCCTGGTACCCAGAACTCTGCACTTTCCTGATGTATAACTGCAAGGCCTTTTTCACACACCTTCCTCTCTCCTGGTAGCCCAGGACTCTGCACTGTCCTGATATATGGCTGCAAGGCCCTTTCTGTGAAGTAGAAATACAAATAACCAAGACCTGTTACTCAAGCTAGGGTCCTTCTGCACAGGTAGCAGGGGATCCATCTCTTCTGAGGCCAAAGGCATCTCATCAGATTCTAGGACATCATATTGGTGGCTAGTCATTTGGTACTTAATCAAGCTGACAGCTTCGTTCATTCTACCTGAGGGCTCTCCCCCCTGGAGGAGAACTCTTGATCATCCTGCCTCCACCTCCCAAGTGCTAAGATTACAGGTGTGTGCTGCCATACTGGCTCTGATTATTTTTGTTATATGGTTATACTGTTAATATAACAAAAGTACAAGCCACTCTAAAGAAAGGATAAATCGTACATTCATTTTCATACCCCTGCCTAGAACAGTGCTTACACATGGCAAGGACTCTGCACAAGTAATGTCCCTAAGGTTTCAAGGGATCCAGATATTTTATACAATTTATATGCAATATATATATATATATATA